TCTTTTAAAATCGTGATTTCTGGGCCTCATCCTCCGGAAATTCTGTTTCTTTGTTATGGGGTGAGGCCACAACATTAGTAGCAAAGAAACAGAATTTCCGGAGGATGAGGCCCAGAAATCAGGATTTTAAAAAGATTCCCAGGTGATTCTCATGTGGAGCCAAGATTGAGAACCACTGATCTAATGTCTCTGTAACTTGACTGCTGTTTGAACCATATCAAGGTGTAGTAAGCTGGGAAAGTCTTTGGCTTCTACCTGATTTTCTTTTAAAATAGAAAAAAAGTCATCATTAATAAAGTGTACTTTGCTTCATGAGAAATGACTGATGATTCTTTAAAAAAAAAATGTTTTTACTGATTTTCAGAAAGAGAGGAAGGGAGAGGCAGAGAGAGAAACATTAAGATCGATAGACTGCCTCCAGCATGCCCTATACTGGGGATTCAGACCGAAAACCGGCCGTGTGCCCTGACCGGGAATCAAACTGGTGACTTCTTAGTACATTGGTTAATTCTCAACCATTGAGCCACACAGGCCAGACTCATTCTTTTTTCACTATCTTATACTGTGCTTTAATCCTAAACAATGTCTTCCCAAATTTTGTCTTAGTTAAAATATTACATTTAAATATTTTAAAGGGTGGAGCTATTGTCCATTTTTAAGATAATTATTTTTTGATTTATGAAATCAAACTTGAGTGATGGGAATTTCCCCCAACTTCTTTCCTCCTTCCCTCCCCCCTTTGTCAGGTATCAATCTGACAGTCTGTATATTGATCTACTATTTACCTTGGAAGTAGGGAGCTATTATAAATGAATTGAATTCTTTCCACAGAAGGAGTCACGTTTTCATTTATTTGGAAGTGTTTAAAAGGCATTTCTTTCTGTAAGGATGACAACACAAAAGTTTGTATTATGAAAGTAATATTATTTTGGAAGGCTTTTAAATATGTAACGTCTTGCTTGCTACCCATAGTGTTTTTCTGCAACAATTTTTATGTAAAAAGAAGAAACTGGCTTCGTGCTCCATGCATTGGAGTTTTGTGCTATGTGTTCATTGCTCTTGGTCGCTGGAAGTGCTGCCTCTGATGGCATTTTTCTGTTGTAGTCGGCGAGGCTCTGGCCTGGGCAAAAGAGGAGCAGCTGAAGCTCGTCGACAGGAGAAAATGGCAGATCCTGAGAGCAACCAGGAGACAGTAAATTCTTCAGCTGCACGGACAGATGAAACCCCTCAAGGAGCTGCAGGTAGTGGCACCTCTTAGCCCTAAAATGCTTTTATGTATCTTACAGGTTTATTTGGAGATAAGTTACTTATTAGGTATATCAAATATAATGAAAAAGGGGACAGAAGTATACTAGATGTTTATTATCAAATGACTTTTTTGTCCTGTTTTGTTTCACTTTCTAGGTTTCTTGATAAGTTGGATTTGGTTGTTGTTGTTAATTCTTTCCAAAATCCAAATTTGTACTAATTATATTCAGAAGGGAGTAAGTCTCTTTCTGCTTTAGCTTCTTATATTAATGACCACATATAGTAGTTGCCCATTGATTGTCTGAAAAAATTTAAATTCATTATAAAACTGTAAGGACATGCCTTAATTTGCTTCAATTTTAATTTAGAATGTTGAAATTAATAAACAATAATAAGTATTATTATTCAGTAAGTATTGAATCTAAGCAACTTCAAGAATACTATTTATACTGTTATGGGCTTTTTTCATTTTTAAATGTATTTTTTATTGTTGATAATATTACATATATCTCCTGTTTTTTATGGGCTTCTTATTTTTATTCTTGATATCTTAGCATAGCAAAAGTTAAGCCACCTCCATCCTTCAGCTTTAAATATGTATTCTTTACCAATACCAAAAGAAGGATAATACTTCCTAGCTAGTTGTGTTAACATGTTTTAAAATGTTGCTTGTCATCAATATTTCTCACTAGCATTAAGATATGATTTAAAATGTTATAGTTCGTCATTATAAATGTATGGATATGAGGCCATTAAATCAGGAAGATAACACATTGGTTTAAGCATATACTTTTGAACAAAGCCCTTCCATATATTGTTGTTTAATATTAGAATATATGCTAGTTGGTTGTTGTTTGTTTAATGTCTGTGGTTGATCACATGTCCTCATTTGCCAGGAAGGTTCTGGCTTGCCCACTACTTATCCATGTTTTATGCCTTTTGTTCCCAGCTTTCTGTCCAGCTTAATATTTTTCCACTGGTCTTTCCTAGTTTTGTATGATAAATTACTTGGTGAACTGACAGCCTCGCTTTTGAGAGGAGGGGACTTGTTTCCTGTACCTTATTTTCAAATAGTTTTCCTGAAGAATTAAATGGTAGATTTAGGGAAAATAATCCATTTCATATGCAACTCATTTAAGCTTTTTATGATACACAGCCTATCCTTCCCAATGTTTTAATGTTTATTTCAAATCTGAACATGGAAGTGGGGCAATTCCCATATGGATGACAGAAATGGAGCTGCTGAGTGTGTTGTTAAAGTAGACTCATTACAGTAATTATAATAGCTAACAGTTATGGTATGTACACTCTATTGCAGACACAGAATTAAGCACTTTACATATATTTTCATTGAAAATTCTAAAACAACCTGCTGAGGTGTGAGTGCTGTTACCCTCATTTTACAAATGAGGCAAAATTGAAGCATATAATGGTTAAGCTTGCCCTGAGTTTACAAACTAGGATTTGTGACTCTCAAATCCAGATCTCAGAAAAGAAGTGCATATTTATAATGGCTGTGGCATTCTGCTCCTTAGGTTATAAGAGGTTGTTCATTTCACATGGATATAATTGGAGGCTGTAATAGCCGGGTGGAGTGTAAAATGTTCTTCCATGCTATATTTGCCTACGAGGATAAAAGCTTCAAGGGATTAGGTCAGTGGTCAGTAAACTTAATAGTCAACAGAGCCAAATATCAACAGTACAACAGTTGAAATTTCTTTGGAGAGCCAAATTTTTTAAACTTAAACTATATAGGTAGGTACATTGTTATTAACTTAATTAGGATACTCCTAAGGCTTAGGAAGAGCCACACTCAAGGGGCCAAAGAGCTACATGTGGCTCGCGAGCCTCAGTTTGCCGACCACGGTATTAGGTTCTTAAGCCTGCCCTCGTAAACATTCACCTGTGTTTTCATTTGTCACTCATATTTGAAACCACAGTGTGATTTAGGTGTTTTCCAGGTTTATGAAAAAAAAGCATGTGGCATGTTCACTGGTATTATTAGAACAGTACTAGCTTCAGTACACTTTGGAGGCCGGATCCCTGGTGAGTTCTACAGGAATTCTGCCAGCATACTACAGTAGTTTTGGAGAAAAAGGTGAATTACTTATTAGCTTAATATTGAGTTTTTCTGAGTAATGTGCTTTTTAAAAATTTTTATTTTTGAATTTCAAGTGTACTACCATGTAATGTGCTTTACTTTCTTAGTATTTGAAACCCTCTAAGTTAGTGTAGAGTGTAAATCGATGATGTTAACTCAGCATCTTTCGGCAAGTATCCATTCTCAGACAGCTCTTACACAGTTGGTACAGGACTCCATTTGAAGCATTTATTTTGAATCCTCACCTAAGGACATGCTGAGAGAGAGTAAGGGAGAGAGAGATACCCATCAGCTGCTTTCTGTATCGCCCAGACTGGGAATCGAGCACACAACCTGGGCATGTGCCCTGACCAGGAATTGAACCTCGAACTCCTGGTTCAACCACTGAGCCACACCTGCAGGGCACTCCTTTTTCTTTTTATTATTTGTTTTGATTTTTTTTTTAATCTTTAATTTTTTTATTAAGGTATTACATGAACAAAGGTACTTATTGATTAAGGTATTGATGAGGTCACATCCCCATAAACACCCCCCCCCTCCACTCATGGTCTCATTCCTTTTTCTTTTTAAAGATAAACCAAACGTAATGAGTTTAAATATTCCTCTTTTAACCCTTGCCCTTTTTTTCCCCCTTTGAAGCCTCTAGTTCTGTTGCAGGGGCTGTGGGCATGACCACTTCTGGGGAGAGTGAATCAGATGACTCTGAGATGGGACGATTACAAGGTAAAGACAGTTTTGAGCTTATAAGAAACCATTATTATGGGCTGTCTATACTGCTATTCTTTGTTGAAATTAATTGAGATAAGTTTCTTTAAACATAATCTAGCAATGCATATACTAAAAAAAAAAGCTCCTTATTTAGTGGTGTTTTGATGGTTTGGAATTAGAAAATGATTTCCTGGCTCCTCATTTTATCTGTTTAACTAGACAAAATCTTATATTTATTTTGAATATTTAAAATTTTTCTTCATTATGTTTGCATGTGTAGCTGGTAATAAATTAAGGAAGGTTATGAAAGGGGGTAGCTGGGGTTTTTTTTAAATATATTTTTATTGATATCAGAGAGGGAGAGAGAGAGAGAAAAATCAGTGATGAGAGAGACTCATTGATCGGCTGCCTCCTGCACACCCCCTGCTGGAGATTCAGCCCGCATCCCAGGCATGTGCCCTTGACCAGAATTGAACCCAGGATCCTTCATTCTGCAGGCAGATGCTCTATCCACTGAGCCAAACTGTCTAGGGCAGGGTAGCTTAATATATTGTTCTCTGGTACCTAATAACACAACACATCCAGTATGCTACTTTTTTGCCATGATCTTTTGTATTCTTGATCACCTATTTCCAAACAGATATAAAATGTGTACATAAACTCCAGCTATTTTAATGGTGTTAGTGCTTTTTTAAAAGCAGCTTTATATATATGCTCTTTACAAGTGGATGAGTATATGTTTTTATCATCTTGAGATGGCTGATTTCCAGTGTGAGGCTTATAAGAAACATGTTATTTATAAATCAGTTTCAGATTGCTTTTAAATTTCTGAAGGAACTTACAATAATCTCTCTTTGACTAGCACCCTCATGAACACAGGTTTCTTATGTTTTTGGAACTGATAAAAATTTTTCATGTTTTTATTTTATTTATTTATTATTGTTTTAAATATATTTTTATTGATTGCAGAGAGGAAAGGAGAGGGAGAGAGAGGTGGAAACATCAGTGATGTAAGAAAATCATTGATGGGCTGCTTCCTGCATGTCCCCTACTGGGGATTGTGCCTACAACCCAGGCATGTGCCCTTGACCAGAATCGAACCTGGGATCCTTTAGTCCACAGGCTGACACTCTATCCACTGAGCCAAACCAGCTAGGGCTAATTTTTCATGGTTTTAGATTAGAGGTTGTCATGACCCATATCAGAGGAAGAACAGCACAAGGGTGTTTACCATACATTTTCTTCAAAATAAATATTTACTTTGAATTTTCTTGGACCACTCTCATCGTTCCTGCTGGTATACTGATATTTAATATCACCATAAAACCTTAAGATACCTTAAAGTAACAGATATTAGTATAATTAATATGAGAGTGGTCTTGAATGTTTAATGTAGCCTCTCTTAAAGTTCAACATGGAAGGTAACATTGTCCAAATCAGTTATGTGAGGTGAATCAGTTGGTTCAAATTTTTAGATAGGATTAGTTGCATCAATTAACTCAACTACTCCTGCCTCTTTCTCTTTAGCTCTGTTAGAGGCCAGGGGTCTTCCTCCACACCTGTTTGGCCCTCTTGGTCCTCGGATGTCACAACTTTTCCACAGAACAATTGGAAGTGGAGCTAGTAAGTAAATACTTTTAAATTCGTTCTCCTCCCCCAACCCCCACCAATCCTTTAATAATTAGTTGAGTGCTGTTTTTATTGCTTACCTATTGATGTAAGGAAGTTCTCATGAACTTTAGCCTATTTTAAAAATAGATCTTTTATACATTTTTCTTTTAAATATAGAAACTCTAAGGTTTTTCTTCTATACTTTGGATTACTGAATTGGAATCATTAGAAAACGAAAATTTATAGTAAGATTGACTCTTTGTTTTGTTTGAATATATTTTTATTGATTTCAGAGAGGAAGGGAAAGGAAGAGATAGATAGAAACATCAATGATGAGAGTCATTGATTGGCTGCCTCCTGCATGCCCCCACACTGGGGACCCAGCTCACAACCTGGGCATATGTCCTATCTGGGAATTGAACTCTGACCTCCTGGTTCATAGGTCGATGCTCAACCACTGAGCTATGCCAGCCAGACTGACTCTTATTTGTTTGAGTTATAGAAGAGTAAAGAATCTCAGATGATTACATTGATTATTACAGCATTTTTTGGCATGATTTGCATATATTTAAATCTTGGCTTTTTTCACAATGTAATAAAGACAGTTGCAATATGAGCCTTGGAGGAAAGATTTCTCAGTACAATTACCAGTCACAGTCACTGGTCTCATTTCATCAAATTAATGTATTATAATCCAGAAATCTTGTCATGTATGGTATGACAGTGGCGATTTTTAAAGTCTCAATTTGTAACTCAGAATAACTTATGCATAATTATAAATCCAGTTAAGTTTTTTATCATATAGAATACTATCTTTAGCTTTCTTTAAATATATGTTTTTAATTGATTTCAGAGAGGAAGGGAAAGGAAGAGATAGATAGAAACATCAATGATGAGAGAGAATCATTGCTCGGCGCTTCCTGCACACCCCACTAGGGATCCAGCCCACATCCTGGGCATATTCCCTGGCCGAAAATCTAATCATGACCTCATTGTTCATAGATTATTGCTCAGCCACTGAGCCATGCTGGCCAGGCTAAGGCTATTTTTCATAACTACCTTGCTTTCTGATGTGAGAAGTTTAGCTCTTTCCTTCACCACCTCCACCACACCCCCCCATACATGAAATCAAAACATTTCTTCAGAGAACCCTGATTTTTTTTATATGAAATGGTATTTGGAGCCCACAGTCTGGAGAGGCATATTCATTCATTGCTACTGTTTTGATCATTGTTATTAGACACTTTTAATGGACAAACCTAGTAAGTAGTTGCATTTTATCTTTTAAAATAAAAATTATGACCAGCCAGTGTGGCTCAGTTTGTTGAGCATTATCCCATGCACCAAGAGGTCGTTGGTTTGATTCTTGGTCAGGGTACATGCCCGGGTTTTGGACTCAGTCCCTAGTAGGAGATGTGCAGGAGGCAGTGATTGATGTTTCTGTCTCATCGATGTTTCTGTCTCTTTTTCCCTCTTCCTTCTCTCTCTCTAAAAAGTCAATAAAAACTTTAAAAAATAGTAAATAAAAATTGAGTTCATACTAATGCTGCCGATGCAAATTTAGACCTACCGGGTTTTAATTAACTTTATCTTGTATCTTTTTTCTCCCATGCCAAAAGTTCCAGTTCCTAATGATAATGACATAGTCACTTCTTTGCTTGATGTCCCTTTGCTCTGTTTCCTCCTCCCACACAAATAACCTTTGTTAATTTAATGGCTTATTCTTCTGATATTTACTTGAGAAATAAATTCTTCTTAGATATTTCATACATACTGCCTTTTTTTATTTATTTTTATATTTTTTAATGAAATCTTTATTGTTCATATTATTACAGTTGTTCCTCTTTTTCCCCCCAGAGCTCCCCTCCACCCGGTTCCCATCCCACCCTCTGCCAATACCCCCCACCACCAACTGTT